GGAGCAAAATGGGCATGGTACATAAGAGAATTGGTCTTTAATAGCGCATGTCTGGATGCCACTTGCACCAGAATTAAGTGCCATTTTAGCTGCCTGTACACGAACCAATGCAGACCCGATTGGATGCCACTAAAATACTTACTCCAAATCCATTTTAGCTGCTTCCACAATGGCAATCAACGAGCTCTATTTGAATCCTCCGGATGCCTCCTAGTTGGATGACGGATTCACCACAAATAGTACCCATTTTGTCAGAAGCTTGCTTTTTGAAAAAAGTGAAAACCAGACCACTTAAATTTTCAAAGCATTCTCTTGTGGAGAAGTCCAAGTGTGTGATTATCCTGGGGAGCAGCTAGAAAACCCCTCATGGGGAAACTCTGGGGAAACTTGGAGTTTCCCCATGACTATTAGTAGAGGCAATCCACCATGGAACCTGAAGAGTCAGAATGTGCATGCATGTGTACACGCACATCTTTCATTTGGTAGAAAAAACAGTCTTCCTTTTTGTAGAAAAACACAAAGCACACTTGAGAAAGAAGAAAATCTAATTTTTCAAATTAGTGGAGGATGTTCACAGGGCCTCTAATTACTGCTTTGAAACATTGGCATAAAAAAAGAGTGACAGAAAGAGGGGGGAGGAGGCTGAGAGGGGTTGTGTTACACGTGAAACAATTTGATAATTTTGAAAGCTAACAAGTATAAAACAAATATGAGTATAATGTAATAGTGAAAAGTAAAAATGATTCTACTCATAGTGAAAAGTAAATATGAGTGCCAAATATCAAGCATACTCGATTGTAACTCCTGTATCTTCTTTCAGCATCCACACAAGCATGACGCATAGATGTATCCTCGTGTGAAAATAATCATGCCACTTGGAAGAAGTCACATTTGGTCCACACCTTCTGGCATCACATCAAGTAGAGCTTATGTACAGGCAAGGAATTAAAAAATGTCTCAAAAGCTTTACAATGAAATCAGTCCATTTAAAATCACTCATAGGTTATACAATGAAATCAATATATTTCAGACATCAAAAGCATCCATGGAAACAAGGCATCTATAGGACTTGCATCAACAGTTCCTAGCATCATCAGACATGAGTATCAAGTCCTAGCCATGGGTACTCATGTTCACCGCTTATGTAGAAGCACAAAGTGTGGCCTCTATTTCACAGCATTGCAGTCACAATCCTAGCATGCCACATGAATAGCATAATACCTAGAGAATCCAAGACTAGAACATGACTAATATACAAAAGATGTAGCATCACGTTCACATAAACCCTTCATTGCACTTTCTAAAAGAACTGAAGTGAGTTGAATGCATTTCACATGAATAAAAGCTGCATAATGAATATAGAATCACATCAACTATTTGATTCATCATCTCAGCATAATTAGCCCGATACATCAAAACACTCTTCACATGAATAGTATGGAATGGAGGCCAAAGAATGTGTGCATGGCCAACCATTAAACTGCTACTACATCCACATAAATATAATCATTATTGAATATCTCGAACCATGCAGACTATATTGATGCACATCATATACTGATAATAATTAATTCAAGACTATTGCGCTTGTAGGTATTTATGAAACATTTCTAGTGTTCATAGGCATATAATGTGGAGCAAAGGAATGGTCGGTCAATCTCTTGTAACAGTTACCCAATGCTTCATGCATTCATTCATGCTCAATCATATCATTGTCATGGCGTAAAAGTGAGACAAAACACGTCCAAGAAAAAATAGCAAGATACATACCCTTCATTTTATACATTATAATAAAGGAAATGCTGATTTCATTCATTTCCCATGGATAGAAGCTGAATAAAATAAATGTGGTTAAACAGCCTGTTTTTTGCCATTGAAAGAATCCACAGCATATCTCCTCGCCTTCCTCCCATTAATTCACGTCAAATATCGCATTTATTACCTCCAGGTCAGTAGCACGATACATCTGGACACTAACATTCTTGACAGGAAAAGTATGAAAGTGGCCGAAGCATGCATACATGAAAAACTCTGAACCTACTAAATCCAGCATGTAAATGCACAATTTTTAAGCTCTAAAATTTCCATCAAGATCCTCATCTACAATAGTGAGCTTTACCAGACTACATTGGCATCATACAATGAGATAGCTGCACCTTTCAATCACTTTTCGGCCTTTGGGGCTAGCCCAACAACTCCATTATGTTGTGTTGGTTTGTCATTTATAAAACATTTTAAATAGTTTCATCATAGACTCATAGTGTGATCCATTTACAAAGAACTCAAGAATTTCGCCATGTTCAATGTTATCATGCCATGTTGATTTCTACTGTTTGATGCCAAGATCACACATCCAGAACAAGCCCATCTGGATTGAACAACCTAATTGCATTAATGAATCCCTCAACCAAAGATTATGTGCTTTCTTATGTCTAGTCGATGCATGAACCATACCGATGAGTCACTTTCCATCGTTTCTATGATTGCATGTTTTAAATGAAAATTTTCTATTAGATATGTAGCAGATGGACAAAGGAACACACCCAAGATTCAGAATTGAGACAAGTACCATTAACGCTAACATATGACACCATCCACTAAATGCATTTTGAGCATGCAATGCAAATAATACTTAATGAACAAGTTGGTTCCATTTTACAGATCATCTGTAATACCTACTGAGAAAGCACATCACCAATGAGAAAGGTTTCTTTTGATGATAGAAATTGAACGTATCCGTTAACATGGATTATCACACTTCTACATGAATAATCAACAAAAATAGGAAAGGACCATTCATAACAAAGAAACCATATCAACAGTAAATCTCCGACCAAAATCATTAACCAGCAGAAAGTTAATGGATAAATAAATATGGAGCCACATGAAATCCATGAAAGTAAAACCGAACAAATTATGAACCATTATGAACAAACCAACAAATGGCTGCAGATACTGCTGGTTCCAGAAAATGGTTTATGAAAGGCTTTATTGACCTAAGCTTTACCCGTGGAAGTTGCATGCCTGGGTTGCTACAGGTGGGCATCAGGCAGTGGAGCAAAGATGTAAGGCAGAGGGAAACATCACCCAATAAATAGCGAAGTATCAGTGTTTCATGCCCAGGTTCATAATGCTCAGGCCTTCTGTTTAGGGTATCACTGTGACTAGGACACTGTCATTTTCTTTGCCTGTTTTCTTTAAAATGTCTATGAAATCAGACTTTGACAATCCAATATTTTCCATAGTAATGTTTTTCAAAGAAACAACAGCAGAAAATGTATGTAATTGGATCACCAAACTTTTTCAGAAAATGGTTTTTTACAATGTCAGTTCATAATAGACGTGAGATACAATCACTGATATCATACAGGTACTAATTCTTGTAAGGACTCAAAATGTTGCCTCCAATGCAGACAACAGAAGAATAAGAAATTTAGACTCAGAAGAGCAAAAAAAAATTGCAGATAAATTACAAGAATCACACTCCATCGAAAGAAGCATAAGCTCAACAAGGAAATGTGGAAGCTCATACACCCTAAACGCATCGCAATACATGAAGCCTTCTCCTTTATAATAGTAGTTATCACTCAGTTTAATTTATATAGTTCCAGGTGTTAGACTACGCAATTTTAGGATTTAAAAACTGATAAAAGAGTGACTTATCAGTGAACTTCAACCAAGATCTATCCCAGAATCTTTGTAGTTTCTAATGCATGTGCATATGCAAATAGCTAAAAGAACAAGCCTAATGGAAAAGGATTAGCATAGCAGCAAAAACGCATAATTACCAAAAACCAAAAGCCGTGAGTCTTACGCATTTTCCCATAAAGAACTTGGCTGGAAATTATAATAAGGTATCCCAAATGCATTCTGTCCAAGTAAAAGGATACAAATCAATGAAATCATTCTATTTTGGAAATATCAATTGGCAACAGATGTGGGGCAACCGACTTGATGTACATTGTTATGCAGCGGTATTGCAAAAGTAACCACAAGAAATATTTGCTCACAAAACTAGATGGAAGAGAGAAATACACTGTATTCAAAAGAGAATATGAAAATCATAGATCGTTCGATTGAAATAGGTGACCAAGAGATAGCAGACCCTCCACTAGGCTTATGCCTTTGCTCTGGTAGGTCAGATTCTCTCACCCTCACCATCCAACATTTCATTGGATTTTGATGAACCCAATGGACTTAGTATATTCATTGAATTCTAGCATGCCTTTGAGGGAAAATTCATTGAATGCATATCTTCTTTCAACGAAATATCCATATTTTCTTCTACTTCGAAATCTATCTTTTATCAGATAATATGTTAAGATTCTATATTATGTAGCTCCTGATAATGGCACCACGATGCCTTAGGCAGGAAGTAACAATACAGTATGCATTATTGAAAAACCACACCCTATATGTAGGTATGGCAACATTTATAGAATGAGGATTGGTTAAAAGGGAATGTTCTATAGCAATACACAAACGCATGTGGTGATATACATGTAGCGATGTGTGTGCAGAATTTATATATCATTTTGTAACAGATGGTGACATTGCCAAGATAATTGCATCTTGTGATCATGTAAAAATAACACTAGATTAATAAAAATCATAGGTTTTCTTCTTTTTTTTTCTTTTCTTGTTTCTGTGTGTAAGCTGGGCTTGAACCCAACCCATAAGTCAACAGGCAGAACCCCAAGTTTCTTGCCATCACTTTAACATTATTACATTATGGACGGTATGCCATAATCAAATGCGGCATGGTACACTTAATCTCAACTACACATCATCGGCAACAAATGGTCAACAACCCAATGGGATTCATATCCCAAACTCCATTAGGTTATGGTAAACTTGCTCATTTTAGAAATACAATATATATGATGAATCAAAATGGAAAGCTCATAAAAAAGGAATCCTCCACGGCTAAGAATCTATTTGTGTCATTCATTTGCACATCCATAAAAATACTAAAATTAAAATAAAAAAATATTGAATCATGAGCAGAAGTTTGATTCATTAATTAGAAAGAATAACTACAAAGCATCCAATATGGAAAAAAGGAAGACAAAAACTACAAGGGGCATAACTTTGCTCCAATAGCTTAACTTCCCTTGGTGTGTTTGTCTTTTGGTAAATGTAAAGTCTCACTAAAATAAAACCACAAAATAACTTTATTCTATAATTAAACCCCCAATTTAACCTCTCTCTGAGTTTGTATGGAACCTAACTAACTTAGCCAGTGTGTCTTGGGCCTCCTTCGTCAAGGGGTGGTCCGGGCCACATATCACCGTTCTGATATTGATACAGGTCCTACAAAGTTCTTCTCCAATGTCATATTGGCCTCCTTTAAGCAACAACTTTGCCCTAGTTTCTAGAATTCTGGCCTTCAAGAGGGTGGCTTCTTGCCAAATATGCTCATTCATCTCGGACCCACTTGTAATTGATCTCCTCCAAAAACAGGATTTATCCAACCACTTTTCAACCTTGGAAGCAAAGGATTCATCTGCAGCATCCAATACCGCAATGCATAGACGAAGAAGTTCTGAAGCAGCTTGGCACCTCGAGAATTGGTTGAATGCTTGAAGAGCGAGAGGTGAGGCTGCTCTACTCATGAATGATAAGAGCTCAGGAAGCTTGGGTTCAATAGTTACCTGATCAGTTCCAAATGTAAATACCAAAAAGCAAGCAGCCCACAAATGGTCATAGTGCTCCGAAAAAGCCAATCTGCTATTTGCCTGAATCACAGCTGTTGTAAGCCCTCGAACCATGGCTCGAGCTGCACCTAAACCCCCTCTCTTTCGAGCATAAAGCTTGAAAAGCTCATGCACATAGATATGATCCTCTTTGCTACAAATTTTAGCAAGACCGAAACGAACCAACATTGCAGTAGCTTCAATCCCAGACCTCATAACATGGGAACTCATAAAGTTGCAAGCTACTATACTCCAACACTTATTCCATAATTGAATCCCTGGATTCTTGTCTCTTACTTTTTGAGCAGCTAAGGTTAACAATGATACGGGAATAGGGGAGGGGGCAAGCCAGCCACTCACCCATATAATTCTTGTGGCCAAATTCTTGGTTTCATCAACTTGATCAAGTACAGAAAAGCAGTATTCAAGAAGTTGCATGAGAAAAGGATGGGATCCAAGAGTTAGGTCATCTTTAGGACCCCATACAATATCTCTTACAGGCAATCTGTTAATGGCTTCAAGAAGTTTCGTGGGGCTCACTGTCGGAAGCTCACTAAGAATGGCACCAACCAGTCCAAGACCCAACGTGAGCCGCCCTAATTTCTCTTCGATAACCCTGAGGGCGTCTAGCTCAGCTGTAGAAATCTCTCTCTCTCTACCCTTCATTAAAGACAAGGCCTCCATGCTTGATAAGTAGGAGAGTTTCAGTGGCTCTAGATTTAATATACGAGGGAGACGAGTGGAAATTATGACATGGGTTGCTCCCCCATAACGGGGAAGTAGCTCCATTATATCTCTACCATCCCAATAATCCCTTTCACGCTCGAGATTGTCGATGATGAGTAAGAAGGGGATATCTCTTATTAACTCTCTCTTCACCCTGTGTACAGCCTCGGCCTCGTGCTCCTCGAAGCTCTTCGTTTTGTATTTGTTGGGGCCTATTTGAGTCTCCATGCTCACATCAAGCCCCAAGAGCCGGCTCAAATTCAAGTAATTCTGGCGAAGATATCTTGATTCACCTCCCACCCATAAAACCATTCGGTATCTCTGAGCAAATCGATAGGCAAACTCTAAAAGAAGTTCAGTTTTGCCAATACCAGATTCACCAGAAACACAAGCAATTCCCTTTCCATATAATATGTTTACATATCTCTTCCCCCTCATTTGCCTTCCTTTGTGCTTAGGCTTAAAGGGCCTGCCCTTCCTGTGAGAACCCTCAACTTTTTCCATTTCGATCTCTTGATCGGACTCCTTCCATAGCACCTGCTCTTTTCCTTTGCTAGTCTCAGGTTTCTCTCTATCCTTTTTCCTATCAGAGCTCCGCCTCTCTGTTTCTCTCCCTTCCCCCTTGTCATGATGTCCTACATGCTTTTTCTTTCCAATAACCAGGCTTTTCCTCTTGTGCCTGGCCTTGATATCGATATAGTCGCTTTCACACTCCTCTCCAGAGTCCCCAAACAAGATAAGCTCGAGCTCGAGAAGCTCTTTCTTCCTCCCCACAAAATCTTCATTCCTAGGAAATGGGAACTCTTCTCTCTCTGCCCTCTCCTTCCTCTCCCTCTCTCTCTCTGCCACACTCCTCCTACCGAGTCTCATCGCCAAGAGGCTCACAGCACTCAGTATACAGTCCCTCCAATTACCAGTATGAGCATCCAATTTCCAGTCATCAACCCTGGAAAGACCCTCAACTGCTTCTTTCCACTCTTTCTCCAATCCATCATATAACATCCATAGCTCCCCACCCTGTTTCTCCCACAATTCTCCTCTCTTCTCAATAATGTCTCGGGCTAAACAATCACCAGGGCCCAAATCAAAGAAGATCGGGACCAAATTCTTCCGACTCATGAAGTGCCTGAGCTCCTCTATACTATAAGGATTCGAAAAAGACTTCCTGGTTATGATCACCATGCCAAAAGTTGCAGAGTTCAACACTCTCTCAGCTAAGACATGGCTTCGAGAATCACTGTATCGAGCTCTGTCGGCTGCGAAACAAGTGATTCCCTGCAATTCAAATTCAGCTCTTAGCCATTTGATGAACCGAAGAAGCGAAGGCCTTCGACCATGAGTCCCAATATAGACATCACAGCTCCTTAGCCTCGCTGATGAAGGGAGAGAGAGTGGAGTTTGAATAAAAGAAGAGGATTCATGGGTTCTAGAAGAGCTACAAATTCCTGTTTTCTTACTCTTTGCAGAGCGTTTCTCTGTGCTCCCGACATAGCCACTGCTTGTGGAGCCACTGTAGTGAGATGAATTGCTAGGAGGGCTGTCCTTTAATGGAGAAACATGATTCAATTCAGTGTTTCTCGCAAACTTAGAAAGAGAAAGAGCGAGAGAGCCATTATGCAGCGAATCAAGATCATGGATTTGTCTGGATTCCAACTTCCTGCTCAAGGTTGAGAGAGAAGCATCGTGGGCTCTAAGACGAGAGTCGAGATCACGGGTTGTCTTCTCCTCCCACTTCTTGCCAGAGTTAGTGACAGAAACACCATGGGAGCTCTTCAGTGCATCAATGGAGGAGGGGCAAGAATTGGGGTCTCTCGAAACATCAGGAAAGCCATGGTTTTGCAGAGAAATCAGCAGGTTGGAAGAGCTTTGAGCGTCTGACCCCATTGGATCTGATAAATTGGAAGAAGATCCAAGAAAGGGTGGGGACCTTGGGGAGAAGAAAGGGGATTGAACAGCTGATACAAAAGCTGAGGAAGAAGAAGAGAGGTTCCTTGAGGTAGTTGCAGGCGCCCCAAGAGAGGAGCTTTCCTGTAAAAGCTCCATTGACCCATCTTCTGAGAAAGGTTTGCCTGTTAAAAACCAAGACTAAACCATGCATTCTATTCTTAGGCCCGTTTTTTTGCTCAATGGCAAGGGGGGACTCCTCTAGACTGGATGAGAGACAAAATCTCTGAAACTGCTAAATTTTGGTGAGAAGTGAAGCTAGAGATTCGCATTTTTCCCCGGACAGCCACCCCATGAACACCCCCAACTAGGAAAGTCTCTCTCTACTTTCTCTCTCCTCTCTTTCCGTCATGAGTCAAAACACTTGTGTCCCGGACTCCTGGGTTCTGAACTTCTCTCTCTCCTCTCTCCATCAAACTTCGACCAGCACGGTCTTTGAAACTCTTCCCCCTCATTCTCTCTCCTCAAACGCCACGTTTTGTCCTTTCTCTCTCTTCATCCCCTCTCTCCCCAAACTCCCCGTTCTCTCTCTTCTTTCTCTCTCTCTTCAGATCTAAAGTCAACGAGAACTCGGTTTCTAAGTTTGAACTTTGAAATCGGGAGGAGAGAAAACTGTTCTGGTCTTCTTTTTGGTATGAGTATGACCAATATAACCCTGGTATCACAAGCTTTTTGTCCTTTCTATTCATTTGAAATTTAAAATTTTTATAGGGAGAAAAAATTGTTTATTTTTTTGAATTTAATAAAAAATTGTTTAGTACCTCCCAATCCACATGTTATTATACGGGTTTGGAGATCTGCACCGTCTATTAAAATTGGGTGCCATATATAATTGTAATATCAATCATTCAAGTATTTTTTTCAAAAATCTAACACTTTTAGTTTTTAAAATTTATTTATTTTTATTGATTAATAATCTCTATGTTAAAAATTATATATTTTTTAAAAATTAAAAACAAATTTTATTTCAAAAATAAATTATTAAGTGGCCTACGATGAATCCGTGGACTCATAGAAACCATATGTTTTAATAAAAGGGAGAGAAACTTGGCACCATCTCTCTCTTCTAACTTCCCTCTCTTCCTCAATTGGTACCTTTTTCTTGTTATTTTGGTGTATGTTAGAGAGAGAGTATTTAGAGAGAGAAAGAGAGGTTTTTTACCTTCATAAAATTAAGAGTAATGTCACAATTAAAGAGTTTGTTAGAGGTAGTTAAAACAGGACATATTCTAGCTAAGCGTGGTTTGCAAAACTTTAATGAGACATCATCAAATGTATATATAGCGTGTTTGTGCTCCCGCGCGTGCATGGCCCAAAATGGTATCTTGCTGATTTATAGTCTCCTCTCATTCAACTTTTTTTAGTTAATCAAGTCTCAATGAACCAATTATACCCCTTTTTAGAGAGAGAGATTGTTTGCATTTCAATGAATCAATTATGCTTCTTTTTAGAGAGAGAGATTATTTTCATTTCAATGAACCAATTATGCCCCTCTTTAGAAAGAGATATTATGTGAATTTCAACGAATCAATTTTGCCCTTTTTCGAGAGCCATGTCAATGATGATGAGGACTATTACGCCTTCCATCATTATCTTACTCCCACTAGTAAGCATGATATGAAATTTAAGGAGAGATGCCTTTTTTAGAGTTTTTTTTATAACTATTGATATGTTATAGTTTATTTTTCCTCTTTTACCAAACTTTCTCTAACTAAGGGCGGTAACAGGCCAAGCTAGGGCCAGTCCAGCCTTTGTCCCCATATGACTGAGCTAGTCTAGCTTTCGCTCTGGCTTAGTCTTTTGGCCCTACAGGGCTGGCTCAGCTGGGCCAGGTGGGAGTGGGATAAATATAAATTAAAAAAAAAAAGAAAAAAAAGGAGAGCTTGACCAAGCTGAACCAGGTAGCATAGGCACTAGTCAGGCCCTTGGGCCACAAATTTGTGACCCAAGACCTAGTTTTTTAGGGCCGGGCCAGGCCGGGCTGCCCATCCTATTGTCAATCTTTAGTGTAATTCAGTGACAATTATTTGTATGTCACCGAGCAAACATTTTGGTTGGAAAGTCGAAAGTCGCGGTTAGAGGATTCCAATTCTAGAAACCCAAAATATCCAATGCTTCATATGTTTTTTTATTTTATGTTCTTGTAATGTGTCCGGGAAGATCTAACTCAAAAAACTGAATCGGATTGGTAAAATTGGTAGATGTTGTAGGCCATTCGATGACCAATTTGATCCTTAAATTCTTGCTTCCTACTACATAACACGATGTCTTTTTGACTCTTGAGACCAAGGAGACGGAACCGTTATGATGTCAACAGTGACTCAAGAGCTTGCGTGCTATGGTCCCAAGGAAGTATATTGTACAGTTGCTCCCTCAGGGGAAAGAGTTCCTTGCAGTAATTTTCTCATCTGAAATTTTTGATCCACCACCAAGAATCACTATTTTCAAGAAAAAAATTGATTTTAACTTCTTCAAAACTTATATCTCACTCTTAAAATTCGACAATTTATGTTTAATCTAGGGGTTTTATTTTTTCAGGAGAATACGAATTGAAAAAGTTGAGATTAGTCGTTAGATTGAATATGCTACATTTCCAAAATTTGGAGTCCTGAAAATACTCCTAAATTGGGTTTTACCCATGAAACAAATGAACACTAGGCTCCGACGAGAGCACATAATCTTTTGACACCATTGTATCCATGTTGTCCACGTATCACGATCTTGTCCTTTAATTTGACATAAATTGATTTACTTAAGCACATCCACTCACGCCAAAAATATGAAGGAAAAGATTGGATGATGAACACACCATCTTATCATTTAAAATGGCATGCATATTTAGTCCTTTTTTTATTTTTTATTTTTTATTTATGGTATAATGTTAGGTGAAAAGAACTGAAAAGGGAATAGGGATAGTTGGGCTAGGTGATCTAGCACGGTGTATAAAAATTTTTTTTTTTTGTTTCACGCCCACTATAAGACTTATAATGGTCCAATACAATAATTCAACTTATAATAAATAAATAAATAATCAAAACAAGATGTCGGAAAATTACCTCAATCAATCTTAGTACACCTCACACTAAGACTCCTTCCTCTAATGGATCATAGGATTAATTGGACTTTCTCGGATCTTCGGAGCGTGAGATCAATTGAACTTTCTTGGACCTCTTCTATCTTTCAAATGTGAGAAAGCACTGACTAAATTCTTTTTCGGATCTTCCAATTATGAAAAAGCACTGGCTAAACTCCTTCACAAAATATGAGAGCGAAAAAACTATTTTTTCATGGACTCAATGCCTTAAAACTACAAAGTGGGGTGTGCAAACTTTTCTTGTTCTTTTATGGGGACGTACCCCTATCTCTCTTTTAGGGAGATGAGATCGCCTCAATGTCTTAGAACTGCAAAGTGGGGAGTGCCCACTTTTCTTATTCTCTCATGTGGACCACACCCCTATCTCTTTAGATAGATGAGAACTTGGAGAGAGAGAGAGAGAATTTCCAAAGGGTGGTGTGCCACCCCTAAAAAATTCTTAGAGAGAGAGAATTCTAGTGTAGAGAATGAGAAGTGGGGAAGCCCCCTTTTGTAAACTTTTTTAAGGGATAGTGTTTTTTTTGGGAATAAACACTTTTAAATTAATCCACACCTATTGATCTTAAGAGTCCTATGCGGTGAGAGATTTGAGCCTTTTATTCCTAAGGTCATGTCAGAGAGAAAGAATTCTGGTGTAGATAATGAGAAGTGGGTTATAAACTTTTTCAAAGGATAGTTTTTCCTTGATAATAACAACTTTTAAATTGACCTACTCCAATTGATCTTAAGAGTCATGTGGGGTGAGAGATCTGAGCATGTTATTCTTACGATCAACTATCATGATTCAAAAGATAATGTATAACCTTATCCTTCAATTTCCTAACATTTATCCCATAAAAATATAAGATAAGTAAAATACCATATACAATGTATCTGGTTAAAATTTCTTTTCTTGTTTATATATGTTTTAGAGTTACGAATCTGTTAGGACTCGTAAAGCATATCTTGTTTTCAATTTGAATTGCTCAAACAAGATAACAATATATTAAAATATAGTTAGTTTTAATTTGACTTGGTTAATAAATTCTTTCTATTAAACCATATCTAAACACAATTATAGAATCTTCACAAAATATGGGTTACCCAAAATATGAAGCGCCCATAAAAAATGGCGTGCCCAAGTTGGCTCCACAAAAAGTGGTGTGTGAACTTGGGGGCTCAAAGGAGGGCCCCACGTTGACTCCCCTAAAAAAATAAGTTGATTTTTTAAAAAGGTTTTGGATTTTTAACATATGTGAAATAATCTTTATTTCTTTTCTGAATACTAAAAATTGAATCGTTCTTAATTCTGCAAATTCATTTTATAAAAATAAAATATCCATAGATAATTAAAAATTCAAACAATCATTCTAAAAATCAATTATTTTCAAAATAAATATAATCAAATAATTTTGATAGGAATAAGATATTTCTAGGTCTAGGAACTTTTTATTTATTCTGAAGCACTTATATTGTGGGGTACAATCCACGCTTGCTTTCTCAAATTGACCCAGGAGTTCCCAAACTACTGCAGGGGTTGATGATTGGGATACTAGAGTCAGCTAATAGGCAAGGGGATATAATCTCGCTCTATAGATTTCAGGTTTTCCCTTAGAGATGAATTCATTTGTTACAAATACCGGATGCAACCATTGCTCTATGATGCATAGGGGTAGTCTCTCGCATATGTGCATGCTGCACTCTCAATGATGTCTTGCTTTCTCGCAATGGCTATTACATGCACATGCCGTGATGGTTCAGTGATGACGCTTTGGCCATCGTCTTTAGAGGCCAACCATCACATACAAGGGTCACATAGTCCCTTGGCTCACTCCCATGAGCAACTTCGACATCATTAAGACATAACCCATGAATCCTTCTCGGTTTTATTTTCATACCCAAGTAATAAGGGTTTTCCAACTCGACTGGCCTAACTCGTAAAGCCTAGTCAAAGCATCAACAAATAGCATTTCCCTAACTCGGTCTCTCTGGACTATAATCACTTGGTCCCTTGGACCATACTCTCATCGAAGTTTTCTGATCCACTATATTGGATATTGATTATATGTTTTCAGAAGGCCTTTAATGGTCACAGAAACTCTACAAATACATCATCAATTATAATTTTCAATGCCACATGTAATATTTTTATTTAATTTTTTTTGGAAGACACTCTATGCTCAGTCCCCATAATAAAAGGCCTACTTTGGAAGATTTTTTGATGTAAAATGTTTGGATTTAATTGGGAATCCATAGATGGTATTTTGTCAAAATACATAAATTTTGATTTTGATTTCTTCAATACTTAGATTTGACAACCCAAAAGTTGGATGGTTTTTTGTGAATATTGGGGCACTGTTTTTAGTAAAGTACTTATCGTGTGTATGATTTTCTTTCTTTTTTTGTCTCTTTTTTTTTGTTGGAGGTGATCAATAGA